AATATTGGGAAAAGTTATAAAAAACCAAGCGTTGAATATAAAACTAATGATAACTTGGAAAAATAGTTCATAATACTGTTTTATATTTGAAATGAAAGGGATTTCAAATGCTGAATTTATAGTTATAACAAGAGCAATCGTATATTTTTTTGACTGTTGTTTAGATTTAACATTAATAAATATATTCAAGTATTTCAATCATCAGAGCGAATGTGATTAATGAAGTTAACAATTTAGGGCATACAAAAACAAAACGAGTAAATTTCTAACTGCAAAATTTTCGTATAAAACGAACAGCGACGAAGTTGATTGCTTACTTGCTATTTAGTAGTAAAAATATTATTAAAAGACTTTTTGGAAAAAATTCAAATTTAAGCTAATATACAATATATTTACGAAAATTTAATTTGAAAAAAAAATAACGATTTAAAATACTATTAAATGTTTTGCGGCTTGTATTTTATAAATAATCATTAAATTTCTTATTTACTATTTTGCGCATTTGATCACAAGAAAAGGTAAATAATGATTTTAGACGAGAATGTGTTCTCGTTGGCAGTCTCAAACGTTCATTTCGTATGAAGCTCAGATCAAATGAACTCTTACTAACTCGATCAAGTAAGAAAAAATCAGATCTTCATAGAACGATAGTAACAATAGTTATCGCCAGCCAAAATTTATTTGAAATAGAATTTTCTAAATGATGAAGTTTATAATGAGAAAAAATGTATGTGCTGTCATGATAAGCGGTGAAAATTTTGTTAGAATCGAAATTTAAATAACACAAAATGATGATGCATGTCATGATTTAAGTAGGTTACTCAGCCCACGAACCCACCAGCCACCTAATTCCCGAGGGACGATTCAACTGACTCGCGCAGAATATTTTAACGATCGCAACCAGAAGTTACTCTGCAAAGTTGCCTGCAAATGCAATAAAATTAAATAACTTCACGCAGTTCCCTGTGAGTAGAAATTTTTAATCGTGACGTTTTTCATTTTGTAGAAATCACCGTTATTGTTAACATTTAGAATTCATTGTGAGTGTTAACATTCATCGATTGATCATTTAATAGGAGATGTCACATTGGTCAAAAATTCATAGAATGAGTGTTTACCATTGCGTCTTTTCTGCAATTACAAGTTCTCATTGGAATGATTATGATGTTGTGCGTGAAGGTGTATTTTGAAGGAAGATCTGTGGTGTTCAGAAGAATAAGAAACATGGAAGAAATTTCACGCCTGATAGAATGTGACATTTCTACGGAAACTTTCTATAATAACTTTGAAAGACTGTTAATAATTTTTATAATATGACTTTGTGATCTTATAATAATCAAAAGCTAGAAAGCAAAAAATAAACAAATTGAATATTAAGAACTACTTTAGTTTTTTAGTTTGAAAAATTAAATTTAAAAAAATTTATGAAAAAAAAAATTCTTGGCAATAAATTTTATTTAATGAATTAAATGAATGATTGCAGCTGAATGTTGTTATTTACAATTATTTATTTGAATTCTTAGAAAATGCAATGAATCAAAGATGAGCCAACAAATGAATTCAACCATTAATAATATTAATGCAAAACATTATTTAAATCTTACTAACCGGGCGTTCATCCCACGTTCCACAAAAAATTAATTTTTTTTCAATCACGTTCTCACGGCAGAATTGTTACTTACTTTAAAAATATATTTGAACATTCGAGCATCGAACATCTGAACAACCGTTACAACTTTATACAGTTACAGCTTATAACCGAAGTAACGCAAATAAAAAGTTTCGCAAGTAAATTCATTAAAAGTTAGGTACTATGTTTAAATAGAATGTGATAAATATAAGACATTATTAAATATTTGCATGGTTGAAACGATAAGAAGATAATATCATTAGTATTAATTAATAAATTAAAACATAATAAGTTTACTTAATTAATTGATTAATTAATTGATTGATAAACTGATTAATTATTTCTTATCATAGCAATCAACCTATTTCTTAATATTCATATAAAAATAGTAACGCAATGATTGCATACAAAAATGCAGAAAAACTTCATAACGATGCATCAAACGGTCAAACGACTTGTATGAAAAATTAGAAGCAACGTACGTACATCTGTCTAATGAAATAGTAAATATGCCCAGTGAAGAACATCAACAATAGTGCCTGTATGTTGTATGTATGTATGTATGTATGTATGTATGTATGTATGTATGTATATATGTATGTATGTATATATATATATATATATATATATATATATATATATATATATATGCATATAACATGTATTATTGTATTATATATATATAACTATGCATGTATCATAACATTAGTATGTATAAATAGGTGTATGAGTGAATATGTATGATTGTATGTAAGCATTTATGTACCTATGTTTAACTGTATAAATTCGGCATGTATATATGTATCTACGTTTGAATGATGAACACATTGGGCAGTATGGGACGTGTGTGCAGAACATACGAGCATACATCTTCATCTGCAATATATCACATGTTTTGATATTTTCCATAAATGTATTATTTCTATTGTGTTTGCTTGTTTATATGCAGGTTTTTATTAAAAAAATGAATACCTACTTATAATTATGATGCAGTAATTTATGAAATGTACCGAAACTCGAGCGTTGGATGGTTTTCATTCGGTAGGTAGATTTCATAAATTACTGCATTAATTATGGTCTTTTACCAGCATAATTATAATTATATAGAATTTTCATTTAGAAATGTACGTGCCCCTGTGTGCTTGCACGTGTGACTGGCAGCATTCGCGCAGTTTGTTAGTTACAATTTATTTGAATGAATCTCTAAATAATAATAATTAGCAGAATTAAGAAAAATTTCACGATTTTTTTGTCATTAATAAAATCATTACTACAGTAACATTTGTTACCCAATGTTTCTGATTTTATATCTTCAACTTAATGCTTTTCAAACAGAAACATTCAAATTCCTCTTCAGAATTGCGTTTGTACATATCCGCTGATGAACTTTTTTTCCTTCTAGAGGCGTATTTTGAGATGTGATTTTTTTTTACGTAAACATAAAAAAATTTTAATATAAATTTTTTAAATTTAAATTTTTTACAAAACGTGAAAAATGCGTAAAAATTTGCAACTTTTCCTCGAAGACTTTAAAGTTCTTTCAAATATTTAGGCCGTCCACTTACGTCAACATCTGACTACGCGCGTTAACAAGTTTTAAATACGAATGGCTCAGTGTACTGTACAATAGAAAAACAACTGATGGAAGTATTACGAAAGTAAAATTGTTTAATTTTATATTGCAGTATGATTTGTTGATTTGTCGTATTATTTAGGCGATGACGACATCAATTGTTTATACTTCAAATAACAAACTCAATAATATAAAAGTCTATAACAGTAATTAGCAAGACTGATTGACATTCGGAAAACTATTAAAATAATAAGAAAAAGGTGCCTATAAAACAAAAAAACATTCAAATTAGGTACAACGTCAGACTTAGATGTAAAGTGATATACACGGTGTAACAAATGCTTCAAACTTGTTTAATAAACACGAGGAAATGTAGGAGCTCTTGAAATTAGCACGTAAGAATGAAGGATGGGAGCTTGAGGCATGTGTTGCTGGCTCGGTGCGACACGCCATCAAGCAGATTGACAAGCAGCCCCAATAATCGTTAATCATTTCGTTTGCACTGAACAAGTTCATAACAGAAAAAGAAAAAATTGCATAAATGAATTGGATATGTATTCAAGTCAAAACACTTTTTAAAAGTTTTCAAATGCACATTTATTTTAAATTTACAGTTTTTTAAGTTAATTTTAAAATGTAAAGAGTCATTCAATAAACTTTTCATATGTCGAGTTAATCAAAATATTTGAAAACTAAATTTTAGTAAAAATAAAAGGCAACTCAACGTTTTTATATTTTACGTTCAATTAATTTACGTACATGTTATGCATTTTGATCAGAGCTAACTTATTAGGGCGGAGTCAAGGTGGGGAGAGGGCCACGTCAAAAAATTTTGTAGGGGATACAGTTCAATTTCAAAAAATGTTCATAAAAATTTTATTCGAACATTTTTAGCCTCATCACAACCAATTGTGAGAAAAAACTATTTTCAATATAAAATTGAGATAACGAAATAGTGCACGTAATAAAATAAACAAAAACTTTTATTAAAAAATTTATGCTCAACACACAAAAATTCTGGCAACTAAAATACTTGCTGTAAATAAATTTATTATGTTAATCGCCAATAAATTTCAAAATTGTTTACGTAATCTTTATTTTTTTATTAGAAAAAACACTCATATTTCTTAAGCACATCTACAAACTTTTAGTTCTGGCTACAGTTTAATCATTTCTTTCTATATAAACATTTAAACTTCTCCCAAATCGATAAGTTTTTATGAGACGCCGGACAACTTTTCATAGATTTCAGGAAATGGTTTTCCGAAATTAATCATATAAATTGGTAACTTGAGTTATGAAGGGACTTGGTCGTTAGCATTTGAAGGGCAACAAGTGTAGGAGGCCCATTTGAATGATGATGGCAGGTCCCACCACGTCCTCTACATCTCATGAAGACCTCCATCAATATTTTTTATTTGCGCATCATTAATCATACGATGTTTTTATAAGTCGTGTTCAAAGTTCGGATACGCTATATAAATGTTTATTCGTAAATAATAATTTGTTCATGTTTATATCCATATGCATATAGATATATATATATAGTTAGAAATGTACAAGATTGTGGGAGGAATATAATAAGAGAAAGCAAACTCCATATTGATGGCCTGCATGACCTCGAGCGTTCAATCAACTTTGCAGGGCACTCCTACCAACCAGCCAAACAGTAATAACAAAAATAATAAAATGAACATGAATTTATAAATAAAATTATGATAAGTTTTATTATGATACCAACTAGGTCGTATGATTTTTTTTATTAAAAAAAACAATGAAAAAGATTTAATTTTCCAAATGATCACCAATGTTCAAAATGAAGAGCGAGCTGAGTGGGCAAAAAATGTTCAAGTGTTCACACACCATCATGCAAGGAGCATTAGCAGAACGTTCAGTCCTGAAATGTTGAAAAAGACTATAAACCAAAAGGCAGTTGGTTGCGAGTAATGAAGTCCAAAAACCGTAAATAGGTACCTAAATGGGTTGTAGAATAAGCATACTGCATCGTTAATTATGTTTTGTTTCCATGACATCATGATTTCATATTTGGATTAATATTTGCTTCAGACGCCTGCTTTTTTACCTTTAGTCAGTTATCTTGTGAAACAATACAATCGAACAAGGTTTATAATTTATTTATTTAATATATTAAAACTGAGATACGTTATAAATGATGAAAAATAAATGCTTAGCTCTACCAATAAAAAATATATAAAAGTTTGATAAAATTAATTACATGAGATGAGAGATTATGATTTTTTTTTAATTAGATTTATTAGAAAAACTAGATGAAGTTTTAAATAAATATTAAAAAAATTTAAAAATTTAAAAATGACTGTAAAAAAATTGTAGAAAATTCAAAAATTGAATCAAAGCAAGAATAAGGTAGTTCTTTGCCCAAAACATCATTGTTGTCTTTGTTAATTTATTAATTTATTGTGAATATATTACAAATAATTTTACGCAAAATTTGAATGAAACGCAGCTTAAAAGCAACAAACTTCAAGAAAAAACTGAACAAAAATGATAGAAACTCAACAACATCACTTTGAAATATTATTATATTCTCAGACAATTAGGAAAGAAAGGGAATTTAAGGAGCCATCCATCTCAATTAATTCATTCATCTTTTTCGTTTTCAATCATTATATATTTCTTAGTAATTAACCGTACCAAATTCTCCTTAACAAAACCATTGTTTTCACTTCTATTTCATTTACATTTACTGCTTGCAAAAACCCACATTAATTAATATATCTTTTGCTACATAATTATTTTAAAAATTATTAAATCTGCAATCATTTTGATAAAATGTCAAATATTGAAAATTCAGTAGTTTGGAAATTGGGTAATATAGCTTTTGAAGTAATTATGTTATGTGACACATTTTTAGCTGAATTAGTTGACGATTTGACAACTTACCAACACACATATTTATTAAATTTTAAAATATTTCATTAGACTGAATACTTTTTCTTTTCATGATCTCTTTTGAAATTATGTTGTTGAATTTTGAGTCAGTTTATATATTTTAAAATTTGCATTCAACATAACAGTATTTTATATATATAATGACTAGCAGAAAATGAAATTTGACTGATACGATAACGTACAACACAACATCAAGTTATTAACAACAACATAACACCAAAACATCAACAACTTCATAGCATCAAGACATTAAAAACAACAAGTGTAAATTTAAATTTGAGTTGACTGTTAATGAATAATGATATAACGGTATTAACCAGTCTTCGTCACTTGAGTGACGAAGACTGGTTAATACCGTTATATTAAAACCAAACCTAAGCATTTCATTTCCGTAAAACTGAATTTTTACACATCCAAAATCCATTCGCTTAGATAACATTTCAAAGGTTTTTCCAGGCAACTTATTATATGACGCATAGCATCTCTATTAACAGAATATGTGCCATACATGTCTATGCCCACAACAAATAAAGATCGTGACGTCAACATCAAATAATATGAAGACATCAACAACATATCATAAGAAACATCAAAACACCAAGAACAAATAAAAAACTATAAGACATCAGTAAAAACATAACGGAATAATAATGTTAAAACATTATCAACAATCAAAGAAAAACATTAAGACATCAATAACACCTCATTAAAAAAACATCAACAACATCACATCAAGAGAAGCATCAGCAACATCACATCAAAGCGGAACATCAAGAACTGCATACAAAAATGAACATCAACAACAGCGTTGCATGCCGGCTTTCATTGAATCAAAGACCAACCAGTGCCCAATAATAAAGATCCTCACCTTATTTTATGCCCACATATTTAAGAGTATCTCGCGTGATACAGCACCTTCCTAACTTTCTTCATTCTTCCTATTGTGTTCTTTCTGTTTGATGTTCTTTTCATTTAATGTCTACACATAATTCAACAGTTTTCAAATGGTTGTTATAATTACAAAGTATTTTAATCAATTTTTATCCCAATAATTTAGATCACATATTTTATAACGAAAGTTCTTCATAACTACAATGCATGAAATGTAATTTATACAACTTCGTTTCTAACAGTTTTAAATCTAATCGGTAATGCTTTCATCTGTCAATTTGTATTCCCAGTCTATTTTTATTCGTTACGACAAATTGTCTTTATACAATTTTTTCTTGATAATATTATATCTTTTTCTTATAACTTCTTTCATGAATATAATATATGTAATTTACTAGCTCGGAAACTTCTTAATTGCACTACTCGCTCTGAAACAATTTCTACATTTTATAGAAAAAAATGTTCCCATGAATAACTTAGGTTGTATCTATTTTCTTTTACTGAACAAAAGCAATCGTACAAACTGATTTTCGTACAACATTATCGACATTGAAACCAAAAAGTGTTTATTGTTTTTCATCACAAGTTATAGTTTGGGAAGATATAAAAACAATTCTTAGTGAGTTTGATTATTGCTTGTGGGACATAAATTTCAATCGTAAAAATTTGACTTATTTCAATGTTCTGTACAGCTAATCTTCATCTAAAATTAAATTAATATAACGGGATTCGGTAACTCACGCCACTGCAGTTTTACAACAACATCAAGCTCGGTTACTGTTTGTTAAACAGCAGCCTGCACGAGTACACAACGCCTTTACTCAAATTCATACATTCAGATGACGCCAGTGAGTGTTCGATTGGCTCAAATTCAAATTCAGATGGTTGTAACTTACAATTTATGGCATAAAAATTATTACCTGTCTAATAATTTTTCTTAGTTCTATGGAATTAAACGCGTAAACATTAAACATTTCTTCGTAGTAATTGACATTTTATTGATTTTTTACAATCAAACGTTAAACAACCGGTTAAAACCTATATTTATATATAACGCATTTGCCATATCCATATTATATATATCCATGCATGCAACATCTTTAATGTAGCAGTTTTTTAAACACAAACATTCTGAACCACTAGAACAAACATGTCAATAATAGGTTTATAAAAAATATATCAGGATCTAAATCTATTTATTTATTCAAATTAGTATGCTAGCCAGCAGGGTCTCGAACGGTTATTTTTTTTATTCCGGTTTTCGGTTCCGGTTCGACTAACGAAAAAATTCGGTTTCCGCGCGTAACAGTTTTGTACGTAGGTAAATATCAAATAAATAGCAATTAATAAAAAAAACTATCAGTTGTTTTTATGAATAATATAAAAAAATGTTTTAAAAATATTTTTGAATTAAAAAAAAACTTTTACAAATCAATTTTAAATACAACGATATAAATCCCACAAGGAAATATTCAATACATTCATGTACCGAAGAGAAGACATGCAGGTGCCAACAGCAAACGTCACTCGTATGCTACCAACACTATCAATGTGTAACATCCAAAAACTGCCATTTTTGTGTCAAAAAAATTTGTTCACTTCTTATTTGATTAAACGATGATAACATTTAAAAGAATGATTAATAAGCAAATTGTTTTTATCATATTTTAATTTAAAATATGGTAAAATGTGAGCCAATTGAATCATCCTGGCTGACGATGAGTTTTTATATAGGATGTCCAATTTATTTAAATTAACACGGACAGTACATGTGTAAAACACAAGGAAAATATATGACAATCATATAATATGAATAATAATGGCAGTAAAAGAGGAAAAGTGCTTCTAATCAATAAGACAAATTTTAAACAAATATATATTTTTTTCGTTTCTCCAAATTTCTCTTCTTTTCAATCCGCTTACAGAAAATGTTATTCTACAGAAACAGCTCTCCTTCATGTTCACGACCAACTTGCTAACATATGTGGAAGCCAAAATTGTGCTGTCGTGGTCAGCCTGGATTTTTCAGCAGCTTTTGACACCATTTATCATCAGATGCTTATTGACAGATTTAAGGCAGAATATGGCATCACGAAATCTGCTTTATCTTGGTTTCACTCTTATCTTTCTAATCGTTCTCAATATATTAAAATTGGCTACCACTCTTTTTCTAGCTTCACCTTATCAACTGAAACTTCCCAAGGGTCTGTCCCATTCTTTACACTACTAATACCTCTCCTATTTTTAATATCATTAAAATTTTTGGATTTTTTTTTCATCGATACGCTGACGACACATGTAAAATAGCTAAAATTCCCACCTCTAATCATATATCTCAGCTTGACAACTTTAATGCATGTACTATGGCCATAAACGATTGGCAGTTATCAAACTTTCTTCGGCTAAATTACCACAAATCTGTAATGTTTCTTGGCACTCCGCAACAGCTTATCAAATGTTCCCCCATCAGACGTTTTATTGGCTGATTCTTCTCTCTCCTCAACCTCTAAACTTAAAATTTTTAGGCTTAACTTTTGTCTCTTCTCTATCTTTTAATTGTCATGTCTTAGCTTTGACATATTCGTAAATTTCTCACTGAAGATTTTACCTCTTCTCTGGCTCGATGTCTCGTACTATCACGTTTAAATTATTGTAATTATTTTCTTTATGGTCTTCAACTCGTCAATTTCGTTCGTCTTCATATACTCAGTTGCATCAACCTGTCAGCAATTCATCAGTTGTCAACAAATGTTTTGCGTACAGCTCTCCTTCCATATGGAATGGTTTGCCTGCCATTATTTGTTAATAACCGACCATCAAACTTTTTAGGAAACGATTAAAGAACTTTTTGTTTATCCAGGTCTACGGAAACGTCAAAAGTCATTTTTTATCCAAGCGTCCCTGAAGCTATGCATAGGACGCGATATAAATTAATAATTGTAGTAGTAATAATAAAAATAATAATAGTAATAATATTAATAATAATAATAATATATGATAGGCAATTTATTATGTGGCAAAAAAAATAATTTCAAGTTTATTATTTGTTATTTTTTTATAAACGGCTTTTCTTCAACTGAAGTGCAATAAAAATCGATAGGAATGAAGGCAGCAAGAATATTTTGCACGTGGCAAACAAAGAATAGAACTATTGAACATGCTGTAAAACATTGAAAATTCAACAAAGAATTTAAAAATTTTAATATTGCACTGAACCGAAATTATTTTAAATTAAACAAATTTTTTTTCAGTTCTTTTCCGGATTTCATTCCAATCAAAATTTCGGTTTTTCTGTTTACGGTTTCGGTTTCGTTTCGAGATTTTGCTAGCTAGCTTAGAAAGTGTGAATAAAATGTTTGGTATACAAACTTTGTTGATTTGCTTCACTAATCGAAAACAAGCCTCTTTTCGATGTATACTATGGTTTTAACGCTTTCAAGCTGGAAATAATATTTTAACAACACTTGTTGTGCAGGTCTGATTACAATATATCAATTATTGACTAAATGAATGAAGTTCAATTTGACATAGATATAAAAAAATGAAAACCAAACGTTGAAATATTTTTCATTAAAACATGTCAAATCTCTATTAATGATTATTGAGACTAATTAAATTTTACATGCTACAATCTGACAGCTAAATAAATATCAAATGGGAGAAATATTTTGATATAGGCATAAACAGCAGAACAAAAAGCAGCACCGCACTAGCAAGCGCTCAAGTTGCAATCAGAGCAAATATAAATAGAGATAGAAGGAAGGAGATCATGATTTGCAAAGGAGGATATTGAATGTAGAAACAATAATTGTAAGTAAGAAGAAAGCAACGAGCGTGATAGGCAAATCTCTAATGCCAGCAAACAACAGGCTGAACAGAAACAAGTCTGTAATGAAGGCAAATTTGAAAGAGCTCCTTGCACAAGCACAATAACGACAACGTTAACATTCATCATAAAATTTGCACTATATTTACTATGTAATATCACATCACACTTAATATTAATGAATAAGTTAGGCAGTAATGACATTAAACAAAAATATTAAATTTATCGATTTTTAGGATAAATAAAATATAAACAATAGACAAGCAAACTTTTTGACAATTTGAAGCTTTTTAAAGACAATTAAGTTGAGGGGTTTTTCAATCACTTCTAATTTGGTCTTTGTGTGTTGCAAAATAATTGCATTGGTTTCTATGACACTTATAAACTAGCTTCCATGTTTGAATTTCAAAATTACTATCACGTGAAATAATATAACTTTTATCTAAACAGAAAAACTGAATGTTAAATGTTAACAATAATGCTGACAAATATCAAAAACCAAATTATTAACATAATTAGGCAATTGTTACGTTCATATGTTTTGGAACTACTTTAATACTGCCGAGTATTAAAAATTTGATCAATTTTAGCCATTGAAAAAATAATTTAAGAGGTAATTATAAGTTGAAGCGCAAACAGTGATGCATCCACCCTTCAAACATTTTTCAAACTCTTCATCACTTAATGATAAACCTTTAGGAAAAGTTACAGAATCTGTGCGTTGGTCACAATCGAAAAAAAAACAGTTTGCAATGAAACAACTTAAATATTTATGACTTCACAACCTTTATTTATTTATTATATAATTAAAATGTAAGAAATAATTTAAATTTCATCAAAATCTGCTCATTTTAACAGCTAGAAAACATCATCAAATCCTCATTGCCGAAATCACCATAAAAAAACTACGACTTTTGTATTTTTCAGCTAATTCAAGTATAAAATGATATACAACATTTTCATACAATTCTAAAAATGTTATGTAGAACAGAATTTCTATTTATGTAAATTTGATACTATTACCACATCATCAGCGAATTTCTTTCTATTGAATCAGAAAAAAAATTTCATGAAATGTCGTAATATCCTTCAACAAGATCAGAATCTCTTTTTACTACGCTATGTCGTCTTAATTATCGTTATCATCATTTCAAACATCATTTTCATTATTATATCATCATATTAAAAATCATTCTTCACATATCATCTTCATCATCACCATCATCATCATCATCATTATCATCACAATCATCACCATCGTCATCATCATCATCAGAGCCACCAGCATGAGGTTTTTTAGTTTCCTTTAAGAAGATTTAGTTTTCGGTTCCTATAAAATGCAAACAGCCACAACTCCGGATGTTGACGTCATCATTCACGTGACCGGAAACGGTTTAAAAAATTTTTTGGTAGCGGAAAATTAAGATTGGTGTAGTAAATAAATTATTTAAAGAAGTGAGCGCATGGTGACTATGCTATAAAATATAAGATGATGATGACAAGATGATGAATAAAATAATTTAAGTCATCTGGCTATATTAAAAATAATGATGAAATGTCATTATATTTGAAACAACTTTGGTGATGATGATGTTAATAACATTAACAATAACAAAAAAACAACAATAATAATAACACTAACATTATAATTATATTAATATCATTAATAATTTTTGTTTTTTGAAAAGACTTCTTTTGATTTCCAAGAAAATTTTAATTTTGGTTCAAACTACTGAGAACATTACATGAAATATTTTTCTTACGTCAGTGATTATCCCTTCCGTTTCAAAAACAAGCAATTATAGTCTGTACATCCACCTTTTATTACGGAGTTAATTTGTTAGACTTGCAGGCTCTGATGTTAGCTGAGTTTGATTATTTCATGAATATTTGCCGACAAGAATCGACAATTTTTTTAAATTTAAAATTTAATATCACTGAAAAATAATTTAGCTGTCGAAAAACATTTTTCACTAGCAAAACTGATTCGTGTCCTGTCCATTTAAATTAGGTGAAAGAAAACCTCTGACAACCAAATAATACATTTTTTATAATACCGAATATTTATGTAAATTTAAATATTTAAATAAACTTTGTTGTATTAATTTTGTCAGAGCTATTTTTAAAATCACAACGTTTTAATTATTTTTTAAAATTTCAAGTTAATTTTCACATTCTTTTGACCTGGTTTCAGAAGATCAGAGCCGCAATAAGGAAAGAGTTAAAAAAATAAATATACTGCCACCAAAAAAGCAAACAACTGATTTGTCAAGCTCAGGCAATGAGATGACTAATGATGCGGACATAAATTCCTTTGTACGGTTACCATTGCTCGCATTTTACAACCGTATACTGTGATGCACGCAACATTGTGAACATTCCTATAATAATGGTGTACAAGTTGTGTACGTATCTACGATAATAACAATAATGTACAATTTGTGAACATCCATTTTTTTATTTCCGACCCATCCATCTTTTTTATTCTAATGTTTAATTAGCAGAATTTTTTAAAAATGGCTTTTAACGTTTTTGAGTGTTTTTGATTTTTCAGCATTTTTTGTAGAGTTATTCGTTTCACAGTTGTAAAATGATTAGTAATCTAACAGTAATGTTAGCAATAATCTGATAAGTGAGAAAGTTAATCAGTCTTTCCATCCATCCATCCATCCATCCATCCATCCATCCATCCATCCATCCATCCATCCATCCATCCATCCATCCATCCATCCATCCATCCATCCATCCATCCATCCATCCATCCATCCATCCATCCATCCATCCATCCATCCATCCATCCATCCATCCATCCATCCATCCATCCATCCATCCATCCATCCATCCATCCATCCATCCATCCATCCATCCATCCATCCATCCATCCATCCATCCATCCATCCATCCATCCATCCATCCATCCATCCATCCATCCATCCATCCATCCATCCATCCATCCATCCATCCATCCATCCATCAATCCATCCATCCATCCATCATCCATCCATCCATCTATCTATTAATCTGTTATTCCATCAACTTTCCAACAATCACTCGAGCCGATTGATTTTTTGCAAAAAAAAGACGAAAACTCAACTTGCATCTGCCCAGACGTATAAACAAAGCAATTAACATCTGAAGATGTGTCGTAGAGATTGCTGTTGACGTTCGAAGCAGTTTAATGCAAATTTTCAAAGAAGCAGCCCAATTACTGTCAATGTGTAGCTAACTTCTTCTTCGTTGCACGACTCCAAATTTTTAATAAATGTGATATCCAAATAGTGTTTAGTACAAATATATTTAAGTGCATATAAAAGAACAATCCCTTCATATGTAGAAAGATTAATGCCTGGGCATCTAAAAATGCATTCATTACTGATGCTAATGTGCTCTTCCACTAAAATGCA